AAACTGAAGCTCCTTATGTTCTCAGTGTTCCTAAATGCTTAGATTTGGAGTACACATTGGCTAAAATGCTTCCCTTTCATGCTGATTTCCCTTTCATGGGCGACTCTAGGATGTTAGAGACTAGGACCCTCCTGCAGAAATAGTACAGTGGTACCTCAGGTTAAGTACTTAATTCGTTCTGGAGGTCCGTTCTTAACCTGAAACTGTTCTTAACCTGAAGCATCACTTTAGCTAATGGGGCCTCCTGCTGCCGCTGCACTGCCAGAGCACGATTTCTGTTCTTATCCTGAAGCAAAGTTATTAACCTGAAGCACTATTTCTGGGTTAGCGGAGTGTGTAACCTGAAGCGTATGTAACCTGAAGCATATGTAACCCGAGGTACCACTGTAATGGGTCTTTGACCCTCACTACCTACAACTGTGGACCATTCTACCAATGCACTCCCACTCCCCACAAATCTGAATTAGCCTGCCACTGCTAACTAGACCTGGAAGAAAACCTGCAAATTACCACCATGAAGTCCCTTCCACTTCAGGATCTCTCATTTTCTCCTTAGTGTTAAAACTTACTCATCATCTTCCTTGAATATTAAGTAACATCCAGGGAAGAGATACAGAGTGTAGCAATGGAAACTGGAGTACTGAACGAGCCCCACTGTGAACACCGCTCCCTCAGCAGTGAGTGAGACACTGGTTAATGGCTCTTCTCGTTATTGAAAACAGTCTTATAATAATAACGCTGGCACCTTGAGAGGAAGAGTGCCTGGCACAGAGAGAAATGGGGAATGATTTGCAAAGGCAAATCATCTTGGCGATGCGTGAAAGCTGAACAGCAATTCCTCAGAGAATAGTATCTGAACACAAGGTTGGTGAAGTTTTTTCTGCTCTTTGCGCCCACTGGTGTATTGTGCCAAATTGCAGAGTTGGCACTCGGCTGCTGACTTGAAACGATATATATTTTGCAGCCTAGCCTGTGTCAAAGCTGTCTGCGTTCCAAAGCTGTCTAACCACGCAAAAATTAAGTTAGCAAAACCAACAAGCCATATATAATGGGGCAATGAATACCTGCTGGCTTCTGTAATCAAGTCCCCTGTCCCAGGCTGAAAGGCATTAGATTGGGCTGATATTTATGAAAGACAGAATAATTATGCTTCTTTCAATGGAAGCATGAAAACAAAAAAGATGTGGTATTTTAAATCACATAGAAACATCTATCTGGTAAAGCATATGCCCTAACTCCTTTTTTAACTGTAACCCAGGCACTCTCATTTCCAGATGTTGAGACGCTTAAGGCCATTAACAACTGCTCCAGATTTCACCTGATATAGCATAGTGATAAAAAAAAATATCCAGCTTAGTTCTGGCCTCTCACTTATTTGGCAAGTGCAGAGTTCTCATAGGCAAAATAGCTTCCTCGCATGGCACTGAATGAGGAATTCCTGTACAAGTCACCATCAGGGAGTTATGGTTCTCCATTTCTGGAAATGTTGACACTGTGATGGTCCCACATTTGTGATCTGTGCTCTCCTTATGGAAGAAACAGGCACAGTTTCACACAAAAAAACCTGACATTGCAACATCATGCTCACTTTTCTCCCCCAACTCAATTCAGTCCACTCTTTATTACGGTCAAAGACCAGACGACAGGAATAATGATAATAAGATGTGTAACTACTTCAGCACCAAAGGCGTAGAAGCAATGCAGAAGATCTTTCTCACTGGATTCTGGAGATCATGATGGAATAGAGGTCAATAACTATATGGGCAAGTTGTGGGAATGTTGAGGAAAGTAGGAAAGGATATATTGATTAAATATTATCTCTCCTCACTCACGCTTGTGAGCTTGTAGCAGAGCACATTCCCATGCATATTGCTGGAAGCAAGTTGATGGATTTGTTAGAATCATTTACCGGTAAGTTGAGCACTCCAGTCTGGCTTATCTAGACTGGATAGTTCCTGTAAATTTCCCTTTATTTCCCTCTTAAAAATAATAATAACATGACAGTCTTCTTTAAAAGTAATGGTAAAGTTTACTTACAATTCAGTTCACAGTAGTATCCTGATGGCAGGCTTTATCTTGTGGTTGCACATACATTTGAGAAAAGAAGTCTGACCTAGGCATCAGACTTTCTACCTTGTGGCCTCCATCCTCAGTAAGGATGAGCCATGGGCTGCTGGCTAAGAGCCAGAAGAGAGGAAAAGAGGCAAAGAGAAAGATGGCTGCATGACTAGCCCTTTTATAGGGTCTGCTAGAGTCACGCCCATCTACCTGGTCACATACAGGGAGAAGATGCAGGTATGACAGGAAGTCCTCCCTGTCTGGAGCAATATTCCCCTGTCTGTTTACTCTAGGAAACAGGAAATGTTGTATTTGACTGCTTCAGTGGTGATACATCCCACACAAGTTGTATTGTCAATGATTTAAATAAGACAAAAACAACAGGGGTAAGAAGCCAATGTGCCCTCCAAAGCTCTGCCTGGTCCTCATGACTCTCCCTAGGAAACACCCCAGTGTACTAAAGCTAACATTGTTATTCATTTCTCCACCCACATTTGCCTCTGACCCCACCCATGACTAGCATGTGGCCCCAAGCGTGTCCGAAAGGCAATGTGCCCTTCAGGTTAAATTTTGTCCCCCACTCCTGAGATACAAAGTGCCATTTCAGAGTCACAGGCCTTTTACACCCGCAATGTAAAGGCAAGTGGCAAGATCTAAGACCAGGGATCAGCAAATTTTTTCATCAGGGGGCCAGTCCACTGTCCCTCAGACCTTGTGGGGGGCCAGACTATATGGGGGGGGGGGACGAAATGAACAAATTCCTATGCCCCACAAATAACCCAGAGATACATTTTAAATAAAAGCACACATTCTCCTCATGTAAAAACACCAGACAGGCCCCACAAATAACCCAGAGATGCATTTTAAATAAAAGGGAATATTGTACTCATGTAAAAACATGCTGATTCCCAGACCTTCCGCGGGCCAACTTGAGAAGGTGATTGGGCCGCATCCGGCCCCTGGGCCTTAGGTTGCCTACCCCTGATCTAAGACTAAACCCATAGTAGAATGGCTTTGGTCAGTCTCGGTTGCAGTTCTGCCGAAATCTAATTTTTTAGAAGACAACTAGAATTACTCTAACAAATGAAAATAAATATGGCAAACCCAGAAAGAAATCTCCTGTGCCTTTCGTAGATGAACTAAGGTTAGAACAGCAGAAATGCAGTGAACTCACTTTCCAACTGTTTCTTTTTTAGCAAAAGTAAATCAAGCCACACTGATACTTAAAAATTGTGCTTTAGTCAGCCCAGAGCATTTATATTGATTGCTTCATGCTGCCCCTACAGTCACATATTATTTGGAGGTTCACGTGGACTGGCAAAAATGTTTAAAATGAGGACCAAGGTTCTGTAGTGTGGCAAAGCATGAATTCTCCATATATGGAGCTCTGAACAAACCTTCCCTCCTGTGTCAAGAAGAGATTAGCAAATTCAGGGGGAGATAATCCTTTGGTGGTGAGAGCAGCCTGGTTCTGTGACACTGGAGTTTTCCAGAGGGAGAGAAATTCACCAAACTGTCAGTCAACTGGAGCAGCACGAGGCTTTGTTCCAGAAACCACAATTCCGCAGACTCAGGGATCAGGTAGCTGCTTCACGGTGCAGACGCCAACTGACAGGTCTCGTAGACATGACCAAATATTCGTGGGTTATTCTGAAGACAACGGCTGGCCTGCATTTCTTTTTTTCTTTTTGTATTCCACTGAAAAGTAAGCCCATGTTAGCCATGGAACAGTGTCTCAGTACAAAAAGAATGAATTTCTCAACAAGGGAGGGAGGGGAAAACGTCCCAAGAAGCCAGCTAAAGTGAGCCCCCATATTAGCTGGTCTAGTACAGAAATGCTGTCTATGTCATCACACACAAGATGCATATTTCTGCTTGCTTGGTGAGTTATTACAAGCTCAGGGTGGGGGGAGGCAGAGAAAGAACCTGTATGCCACTTATCTCAGCACTTGTTCACATTAAAAATACATCCCTTTAAAGGAGAAGCTAAACTACAAGTTATTTCAAGAGTTATTTGCTTGTTACGCACCCAGGAGCTTCAAGGAAGCCTTAATTAGATCTTGAGACTAAACACATCGATTTCAGTGGTACTTGCTTCCATTTGATGTTCAGGATGAAAAATGGCGTATTTATAGCTTCGCTGCCTCATTTAGATTCACATAAGTGAGCCAAAGCACAGGCTGTCAGGGAACGCACACACTGAAAATTCTGAAATATCTAAAGCCTTGTTGCATATTTGTAGTCAGTGGTATTCAAAACCTCCCAATGCCATCAACCACAGCTATTTCTTAAAATGCACTGACCTATATTCCTTGCTTGCTAGCTTTAAGATCTTGCAGCGTTCTGATCCCCCACCTGCATTCTCAAATAGATAGCCGTTACCTCTAATTAGACCTAGAGGAAAATCTGATTTACCAGTCACAGGCACCTTTTCCCTTCATTTTTGGCACCATCCTAATTTAGGTTGTCACGAAACACTGGGAGGTTGAGAAAGAAACTCAACACAATTTCTAGATCCATGGGGAGCTCATTTCACTACCCAGGACTCTGCAGATACAATCCCGCTTCCCTTCCACAAGGAAGCATGGAATTGGAAGGGACCTCAAAGATCCAACCCACTAGTATAAAATTGGTTAAGTGGCCAGTCAACCACTATTTAAAATACACATACACAACTTTGAAAATCTAAATCCTCTCTGCTTAGAATGCTATTTATCTAATACAGGTTGGATGTTTTCCCTCTTGCTATTACATTTTCTTGCTATTGATTTTTGTTTTGTTTTGTGTTTTGTATTCTCCTTTTGTATTTTTCTGTCATGAACCACCCTGGTTCGGCTTCAGATGAAGGGCGGTATACAAATTTAATAAATAAAAACAATAATACAATGGCAGGTCTAGTGGTGGAGATTTTGCACTTGTGACAGATGTGGCATGTCCCAAATCAGAATTAAAAGAGTCAGTTTAATCAAAATACACAAAACATATTTTTTTAAATAAAGTATTAAACCAATATATCAGAATATAACATTACAACATCAGTTCCAAAAACTGCACTTTGAAAATAAACACAATATGAGCTGCCTTCGTAGAGGATTGCTCAGCCCCTCGTTTCCTTGCTTAAGGTGCCCTTGTAGTCAAAAACCTGAAGCTATATCTGGAATCCCTTCCATAAAAGCAAAATGTTGGCAATTTTCCTCATCTGTTATACTAAGACTATTAGAATTCTTCACATCAGGCCTTTGTATTTTTGGTCAAGCAAAATAAAATTTAGCAATGCTCATATAAAAAAACCAGGAAGACCAAATGAAACCCAGTCCCTTTAAGAATGATGGTTACTCCCCAACCCCTATCCAAAGGAAGGCAACAGTCTTGTGCAATCCTACCTCTGGGAACAGCAGGACTCACTTCTGAGTACACATACATGGAAATGCATAGTAAATGCAGACAGGAGGTGAGAATACCCTTCATCCCATTTTGCTTCATGAGGTACGAAACTCCTCCTTCCGCTCCTCAACATGCTTGCTGAGGTAGGTTCTGGAACAGTAACCTCTGTTAAGATTTTGTCAAGCCATAGTCTTTTCTTTGGGCATTGACAGGACCATTTCCAATATCATATAAGAAAGTATCACTTGCAGCCATTTCACAGAGGACCATGTTCCTATGTTGGCTGCTTATGCCTGCATCCTAAATGGAGGTGGAGCCCTCCACAAAGGAATCTGTTAGTGTGTGAGGGAGTCCAGTCACAATGCCCCAATACATAGCTACATCTGTTTTACTGTCAAGGAATCCAGCTCCATAGATTCAGGGAACTTCATGAACACAAGACACTGGGTTTCAGTAACTGAGCATATAATCATGTCCTATAACCTTGCCCTAGAGTAACAGTCTTAGTGGCTGAATTGTTGACTTCTATGGGCAAGCTTCAACTAGCAATCTTGGTCCCACAAACCATGGCTCAACAGTCTGAGAATGAACACTCCCTCCCTATCCTTCTCTTCATGCTTGGCTGATCTAAACCATAGTTTCCAGATACATCTGCACCAGGAAACTGTGATTTGATAACCATGACAAGCAGAGATTAAATCAGCAATTCCGAGACCAGATGTAATAGGAAACTGTGGTTCAAAGAAGCCGTGATCTTAAGCTACAAAGCCAGGACCATGAGGGGAGCGAAGATTCAAAGAGCAACCACACGGGCACAGGCTTTTCATTGGCTGATAAACCATGGTGTAATGGTCTCAGATTGCTATGTCAGAACAGGGCCTATACAGAGTGCCCCCCACTAAGTAAAATGAACTCTTAAATTTTCTGTCTTTGCAGTTTGGGGCGTGACATATTAGAACTATTAGGTGTGATTAACTGCCACATTTCTTGCAACATTAATTCACACTACTAAGATTTTTGCTGAGATTGTGGTAAGATTGTCAAGGCACAAATGGCACTGAGGTTTAGAGCCTATTTGTTTTTTCTCAAGTCTCTTTTTATAAACATCCACAGGCAGTGAGAAACTAATGACTGCCTGTGGCCTTCTTATCCACACATGATCTCAATGCAAATTCCCCCCCCCCCGGCAAAAAAATACTCTTACTACAGTGAAACAAAAAGTAGAACAGGTTTTTTTATCAAAGAACACACAAACCAATAATAATGGCAAATACATTTGGTCCCTAATGCCCTGCTGTGTACCTCTTGAATTAAAAAAACAAAAAACAGAAGAGGTAGTGGCTAACAGGGCAGTCAATGATTCAACAGCTGCCATTGACCCTTGTAAGCTAGGACTGCCCAACTTAAGAGCCCACACAAATAAAACACAGCAGGTAAAAAAAATGTGAATAAATTGTATCTGTACATTAAACCTTTGACACATGCAATGGTGCAAAAATAATATCTATCTTTGGACGTTCCTGGGTGGATGCAGACAACTTTTTTTTTTTTTTAATCATTAAAAACAGTTTCATTTGTCATTATGATGTAAGGGGTATCAAGCAGAGCCTGATAGTCGGAAGTGGATGTTGGAACCACCATGTTATAGATACAAGTTCGGAAACTATGACAGCAGCAGAGCAGATTGCTTTGTGATTCCTATGCCAGTGGGCAGTTTTCATAAAAATCATGCGCCGACCATGCATTTCATTTGCCCTGAGGAGTGGAGAACTGAGCAGAGAACTGACCCTAAGAATATGTCACCACTGTCACAGAATGTCAATTCTGGTTCTGCTTTAGAGCCGAATAAGAAGGCAAGGTCACAGCAAGATGGAGGTGGGGCTCCCATTACCTGGGGATGAGAGATAAGGCTGGTGCACTGGGGGAAATGAATAGCACAAGACATCCACAAAGGGGACAGACCACTTTTTCATGAAGAAACATGGGTCAATAATACAGATACCTGGCAGACAGGCCTTCAGACAGTCCATTTCCACTGGAATCCAAACGTACCTCTGGTTGCAGATGAGATCCGTTCCAAAGTTCTGGTCAGATCCCAAGGTTTCCGTAACCGGAGGGACTGCTTCTGCGCATGTGCGTGAGTGGCAGCAGACCGTTTCTGCGCATGCACGCGGCACGGTAGAGCGCTTCTGCACATGCACGTGTGGCGAAACACTTCTGGGTTTCCCACTTTTGCAACCTGAAGTTTGCGTTACGCAAGGGTACCGTAAGCCAAGATGCTACTGTAGTAAAGTAATTGAGGATATATTTACAGCTTTCCCAATTACCTCAGAGCAACCATGTAGTCACAGGAGTGTGCAGTTTCCCTCACTGGTTCACTCAGGAATGATAATAGCAGGCATATGGAATAATTTCTAGGTAAAACGCTCTGAATAAGTAATGTAACTATGCTGCCCAGCTTAAATTCCTCCCGTACTAAACTACCCCCCAAAATGTGCAGCCCACTGCAAGGCTGGTCAGATTCCGACTGCTGTACACGAACACCTTTCAAGACATGTTGTTGTAGGGACATGGGTATGAGGAAAAGCAAGGGAAAACTGGTCCTGCTTGAAAAATAAATGACTTGATCTTTTCATTTAAAAAAGCTTAAGCCCATAAAAGCCAGAAGCAATAGGCATAATTTTCACAGGCAGAGGAGCTAAACGGTTCTTGATGCAAATGCTCTCATTTAACTGCTTTGTGTTTCAGGAAGATAATTTCCACGGCGCCTTTCTAAATTAGATGACTTCTAGTCTTCATCCATCTTAGAGAAAGCACTTGCCTGGAGAACCTCCATGCAGTTGACTAGAATCAGAGCTCCAGTTAATTCTCGCCACTGTTTGGTCACAGGATTCTTCATTTTGTCCAGTGCAGACTGCAGGTCTTGCAACATATCTCTGTAACTGTCTCCATAGTGAGCTCCCCAGGTGTACAGGAAATCATACGCCGGTTTCCACATCATCTGCAGTTGAAAACATACTGGGGATCAATTATTAACATTTACATCTTGTTGCCTGGCACTTAAAAATATATCATGGAGGCGCCCAACAAACCTCCCTGGGGAGGGCATTCCACAAAAAGCAAAGTGGCTTACTATATTTTTAAATACAGATTCATGGTAAAATACATAACCCTTTAAAATCCATAGGCAGGAACAATAACATTAAAGTCACCAGCTTAAAACAGTAATAACTTAGCTGTACCTCAGTTAACTATTCTCATTCATACCCATACTTATGATCATATTACTACAACTCTAAACATACAGTCAACTCTAAACAAACATGTCCTCATATCATTAAGTAGGTAACTTTAAAAAAAAAAAAAAGTATCTCCACCCCCCTAGCATGTTGAAAGGAGTTAATGGATTCATTTTTACCAGTCTTTAAATCCCTGATGAAATCGTCAGCCCCAAGACAATTTTTTTCTTCCTCTTTTTATAAGGACCATTTGGGTCTGAGGGGCATTCAGAAAACAGCTGAATATCTGGAGATAACATTTATGGTTGGTTGGATTTCTGTTCTAAGTTGAGATCCCCTCCAAAAGATTCTGCTGATGAACCTAGTCCCCATTCTCCACTCTCTCATTATCATTTTGCATTTACACATCACAAAATTAGTTTCTTCTTCTCTCTGGTAGCCTTTTGGTTAGGAGGCTATTTTATCCTTGCTTCTGTCTTGAAAAACTTTTTGTGTGAACTTCATATATTATGAAGTTATTAAATTTGTGGTCTGCTTGTTTGTTTTTTAGGCTCCTCTTTTACAGTTTAGGCTGCTTGCCATTGTATTTTAAGTCAATTAATGTAAAGGCAGTGTTATAAATTCAGATATATAAGCTAGGCACCAAACGGCTCCTTAAACCAAGGTTAGAATCAACAAAACAAAATTCCTAGTTGCCATTTGGAGGCTAGACAGTTCCAAAGTTGTATTTTGGAATACAACTTTCTGGTTCCTGAAATTTGTTCAGATCATGCAGATGAATATCATGGATGGAATTCTACAGGCTTTGCTGTTAGTGTGTGAAAACAGTCAAGATCCAAGGATCCCCAGGCATGCACCTCCAGGGGGTGGAGAAAGCAGGCGCCCAGGCATCTTCACTTGGTCACAAGTTGCTGATAGCCTGGTGCAGAATACGTCTGGCACCAGACAAATTTTGAATGCTGTGTAAAGTGCTTATATTTGATCTGGTGTGTTGTTTTTTTGTGGGTCTCGTTAACTGTTCTGCTATTTTTTTAACTTTTGTAAGCTGTCTTGAACATTTTAATGGAAAAATAGGGATAAAAATGCTTTAAATTAAATTGTACTCAATAATGAAATTAATGAAATGGAATCGATCATGAAATCCCCCTGAGTTGGACCTGGATCGCTGAGCAGCTAATTTTCTAAACTCCAAATATGGTCATTGATCAATGAACGTTAACATTTTACTCGAGCAGCTCAAATTCTAGTGCCGTTTCCCAAAGTAGGTCATCACTCCTTGTGGAAAATTTAAAAGAAGCTGAACTGGAAAGGAGAGCGATAATAAGGTCCCAAGTTCACCCACAAGTATCTCTAGATAAGATCTCATCAAGGAAGAACTTGGGAGGCAGTGACATTACTGGGCTAAAAAGATCAACATACTGACTCATGCAAAGGAGTACTTTAAACTTCTCAACATGTATCTCACGTAAAGTACAGGAACCAGTTGAGGGGGCCTGCAACTACTTTTTAGCAACACTAAAAACATAGGACATCACAAGCTCTGGCAACCCAGAAATTATCTTTGATAATAGGGAATAACAATTTTAGGAATTAGAAGTTATGCATAATGAGCACTGGGTCACTGCAGCCTTGCACAGACAAAACTTTAGGAATTCCTACTGGAAATTAATTTTATTCTCATTTTGTAGATGTCTACTGGAAGGTGCAACAGCAAAGTTTTTTTTAAAAAAGCACAGAAGATAACAAAAAGGCAAACAGAAAGCTGTATTATTCCTGGAGGGGGTCATTTATGTTTAAAAATTTCAAACATAAACACTGGCAAATCAGAACAGCAGAAAATAATGGATAATCATGGAAGTCATTTTTTTAAATGATGCTCCATCAGAAATTTCTATTTTAAAAACATACCACCTTTAAAGTAAATCTGAAAACCACAGATGGAGAGCAAGTTTAGCACTGACAGAAGCCAGAACGCCGGTCTCGCTGTCAAGCTCTGAAAATGCAGACATACTGTAAAAATAACCTTGAACCTGCAGCTTTTGGATCAAATGTTCTCAACTAAGCTCGATTTGCAAATTAGAGAGAGACAAAGGGGGCTTCCTAGATGTCAGTTCTGCAAACTCAGCCTGGCCCGTGAAAGTCAAGAATCTGAGACAGGGTGGAGTGCAATTCATTCTTACCACTGATTTACTTAACAGCAATTAGGAGATGCAGAATGGCAAGAAGTCGTGTAATAGGAGTGTCCGCTCATATAGATTGACTGAATAAGCAAGTGCTGTTTTTAAAGTCTCAGAATGCTTGTGAGCCAGTGATCACAGCTAGCGATGTTTGGAAAACCTGAATGAAGAACCTGAATTTGTATTTTCTGCTGAATGAAGAACCTGAATTTGTATTTTCTACATGAACGATGCTCAAGACCAGATTTGCTTACAGGAGAGACCTGTCCAAAAGAAACTCCTGCTGTCCCAGTGCTGCCTGCTAAGCTTATGGGGCTTACCGGGGCAGGGGGGCAATTTGCCCAGCTATGCCTCAGACCTGGCCAGTGTTATGTACTGCTGGGCAGCACAGTAGTAGCCAGCACTGTGCCCTCAGGTGGACTACAGGTCCCATCAGCACTAACCATGATACCTGCTAGCTGGGGATGATGGGAGATGGAGTCCAACAGCAACAGGAGAGAACCAGTTTGGCTGCTCCAGGTGTAACCGGCAAGCGTGAACCGTAAAGACATTGGTGTGTTGGAAGACATGGTTGTGGTAAACTTCCTCAATAAAGATACAGAACGTGACAGAGTTTGGGGTGCTTTAAAACAACCTGTTGAGGTCTGAGATTCTCTGTATGTGGTAGCAACTGCTAATATCCAGGAGCAAGGACTACTAATAATGTGAAAGGAAAGCCTGTGACCACTTCTCCCTCACCCAGAGGATCAAAGGAAGGATGAGCCATGTTGGAAACAAAACTGGAATTTAATTTAAACACACATGATGAGGGTTTAAGCTTGATGGTTAAGCTGATAAGCCAAAAACCTTTTACAGAAGTAATTAAGAACTTTATTTAAAATTGGACTTTAAACCGGTTTCTAATTAAGCTGATTCCTCCCAGAATGGCTTTTTGTTCTCCTACCTAAACCAAGAAAACACTTTCAGGCCCATTTTAGAATTTTATCCTTCCCCTCAGGGAAATAATTGGGGCTGCCGTGCCTAGCAAACTGCTCCAATGCCCAGCTAATCTCTAGCCACGACCAAGCTAAGCTCAACTGGACCATTTAACTGTCCACACCCTCCTGATTGGTGGACACTCCACCCAGCCCTGATTGGCTGCAGAACAAGCCCCAGCTGGGTGGAATCATCATCTGCTGTGAAGCAGATTTATGTTGTGAACTGCCCTGAGATCTACAGATGAAGGGGAGGTGAGTATACAAATTTAATTCATTCATTAATAGCAATATGAAAATGAATTATCTAGGAACAAATGAATAGTGTTGCTAGATCAGGCCAACATTCTATCTAGTCCAGCATCTCATTCTCACAGTGGCTATGCCTCTGGGAAGCCTTCAAGGAGGACCCAAGAGAAACAGCACTCTGTTCACTTGTGATTCCCTGCAACTGGTATCCAGGGCTATACGGACTCCATCAGTGGAGCTAGAAGATAGTATTCATGGAGGATGAGACTCTTTTAAAGCACTGTGTGCTGGATTATCATACTATGTATGTTTTGAAATCAATGCACATTAAACTATTATTGCAATAATATGCATTTTATTTTATTTTTTTACAGCACTGCGAGCCGCTTTGGCCACATTTATGTGGGAAAGCAGCCTACAGGTGAAACTAATACAAAAATTAAAAAACGTCAGAGTGAGTATCTCATCTGCAAAGTGGGATCTGCCACACAAGGCTGCTGTAAGAATTGAGTAAGGAAAGAAGTGCTATTACAGAACCTGACCCTCCTTTGGGAAAGACCAAGCTATAAATAAACACAGGAAAAATGAAAACACTGCGCACAGAGTTATCAAATTCCTGCACGCTGCATGCTGACAGACAAAGAGGCAGCTATTTGGTTGTTGTGAATATTTCATTTAACTTCTAACTTGACAGCTTAATATCACTGTGGCAGCTGATATGAGATTTCTAAGGCTGCTCGTGATGAATGATTCCAAATAAAAACATAACCATAAGAAAAAGAGAGAGGAGGATAGGAGCACTGCAAAATCAAGTACTCCCCCCCCCTTTTTGACAAACAGTACTTTATGCAAGATTTCACCAAGATTATCTTTGCCTATAGGATTTATTATTTTGTCTTATTTAAGTGCAAGTGCAAGTCACATATCAGAGAACTACAGGAAAAATCTGGTAACTCAAAGAACAAGCCAAGGTGGCCCACAATCAAAATTAAATACAAGCCAAAAGAAATAGATTCAAAAAATGAGGTGAATAATATTCTGACCTCTTTTCTATTATGGGAACTAGTGGGTTGTAGTGGGTATGCTGAGCAACATACAGACAAAAATTTGAAAGCCAAAGTATACTGAAATGCTCAAAGTTTTGCATTGCTTCCTGTTTGTATTATTCACTGCATTATACAGTGGTGCTTTGGGTTGAGAACTTAATTCGTTCTGGAGGTTCATTCTTAACCTGAAACCATTCTTAACCTGAGGTACCACTTTAGCTAATGGAGCCTCCCGCTGCTGCCACGCCACCGCCACACAATTTCTGTTCTCATCCTGAAGCAAAGTTCTTAACCCGAGGTACTATTTCTGGGTTAGTGGAGTCTGTAAACTGAAGCACCTGTAACCTGAAGCACCTGTAACCCGAGGTACCACTATACGGTCATGTGCCTTGCTAGTTAAGCTGTCATTGTCCTCCAACAATACAGTGGTGCCCCGCAAGACGAATGCCTCGCAAGACGGAAAACTCGCTAGACGAAAGAGTTTTCCGTTTTGGAGGTGCTTCGCAAAACGAAGCTCCTATGGGCTTGCTTCGCAAGACGAAAATGTCTTGCGAGTTCCTGTGGTTTTTTTTTCCTTTCCCCCCGCTTTTTCTAAGCTGCTAAGCCGCTTATCTGCTTATCCGATAAGCTGATAAGCCTCTCAAAGCCGCTAATAGCGCTAATCCGCTAATCCGTCAATGGGCTTGCTTCGCAAGACGAAAAAACCGCTAGACGAAGAGACTCACAGAACGGATTCTTTTCGTCTTGCGAGGCACCACTGTAGCTACACATTTTCATATTTGGTTGGGATACCAAGCTAAAATCATCTGCCAATAAAGGCCGATGTTAATGGAAATTTTTATATAGCTTCATTGACAGATGCGGAACAATCCAAAACACGTTTACTCAGAACTCAGCAGAGATCAGTGTACCTTATCCTAAATAAAATATGCACAGGACTGCAGAATGAATCTTTATAGACTTACACCCTCAGGATGTCTCCATTTAAATTCTCTAGAGAAGCCATTTAAATGTTTAATTCAATATTTTGTCTCCATCAACTTGATGAGCCTCGTCTCTTTGGGTGGGCTTTGAGAAATGGCTTTGAGCAATTTTGTGTCATGCTATTACAGTGGTGCCTCGCAAGACGAAATTAATCCGTTCCACGAGAGTCTTCGTCTAGCGGTTTTTTTGTCTTGCGAAGCAAGCCCATTGACGGATTAGCGCTATTAGCGCTATTAGCGGTTTAGCGGCTATTAAAGGCTTAAAGGCTTAGGGGATTAGCTGCTAAAAGGCTATTAAAGGCTATTAAAGGCTTAGCAGATTAGATAAAGGGGGGGGGAAGCGAAAAAAAATCTCAAGACTCGCAAGATATTTTCGTCTTGCGAAGCAAGCCCATAGGGGAATTCGTCCTGCGAAGCAACTTCAAAACGGAAAACCCTTTCGTCTAGCGGTTTTTCCGTCTTGCGAGGCATTCGTCTTGCGGGGCACCACTGTATAACACAGACAAGAATTATTAGAGTTGAAAGTTTGGACACATAACAGTAAGACCGAGAGAGAGAGAGAGGGAATGATGTTTAGGACTGAAGAGAGACCAATTCTGTTTTCACCATGTTTTATGAGTATTATATCATTTAAGAAATAATAATAGTAATAATAATTTATTATTTATACCCTGCCCATCCAGATGGGTTTCCCCAACATAATATTATAATATTATAATAAAATATTGTAATATTAATATTAAAAACACGATAAAACATCAAACATTAGAAACTTCCCTGAGCAGGGCTGCCTTTAGATGTCTTCTAAATGTTGTAAGGTTACTTATCTCCTTGACATCTGATGGGAGGGCGTTCCACAGGGCGGGCGCCACTACCAAGAAGGCCTTCTGCCTGGTTCCCTGTAACTTCACTTCTCGCAGTGAGGGAACCACTAGAAGGCCCTCGGAGCTGGACCTCAGTATCCGAGCTGAACGATGGGGGTGGAGACGCTCCTTCGATTATACTGGGCCGAAGCCATTTAGGGCTTTAAAGGTCAGCACCAACACTTTGAATTGTGCTCAGAAAACCTATGCAACCTGTTTGACTAGAAGCAATGGTGGGGCAAAAGGAATGTGTACACATACATCCCATGGCAAGCAATGCCATTTTATGTCAGTTATAAAAACAATGGTCTGTATTCAGTCTAAAAAGCTCTGGTGGCAAAATAGCACAGTGAAAGAAAGTGAGAGAAGTTTCACCTCTGGAGGGACATCTCCATTTGTGCCCCGGTGGGGAGTTTCATAAGCTTCGATTTGTTGCTTTGTGAGTCGTGCTAATTTTTCTGCCAGCTCTCTCCAGCCTTTCCCAAGCTTCACAGCAGACGTAAAAATGACTGTGTCTTGCGTGATGCGTGCAAGTAATCCTTGGCAATCCAGCTTCAGCAGGGCCTGAAACCACAAGTTTGATGATTATGTTCTCAAGCAACCATGAATAACAATTAATTATAGCCAGCTTGTGCAACTATTTGAAGCAATACGGAAACGAGCACTTAAACTTATGCTAAATATTCCACTAGTGTTCCAGAAGTGGCTTTTTTACATGTGGAGAAAGATCACATAAAATGTGGAAATGATTAGGTAAGGAATCATCATGAAAACTGAATGAAATGCTATTTGAATGCAGGCTTAAGTCCATTGATTTCAATGGGTCCTCCTTTACAGTATGTTTTACTTAGTCACATACATATAGTTATTTAAATATTTATAAGCCACACTCCTGTAGAAATTATAACAAGGCAAAGTGTAAGATTAAAAACACAATACACCAAAATAGCCAAAGCGAAAAGAACATATTATTAAAAATTAGTTGATTTAAAAAAAAAAAAGATTCTGAAGACCTGACTGAACAGTTTTTAAAAGACGTTTGAAAGAAAGCAGGGCTGACTCCTGTCAAACAAAGATCATGGGGCAAGGAGTTCCACAGAGCAGGGTCTGCAGAAGTCTTTGTCCCTGATAAAGGGCTGTTAAATCTAAGGGGCGGGGGCACAAAATGTGCCCCATCTGAAGGCTTCAGTGATCAAAGCAGAGTATAAGGTATCTGGTGGTCTTCAAGGTACTTTTGGCTCCAAGTTGAGTAGGGCTTTCTGAATCATGCGTCTGGCAGCAAAACAATAGATACACCGGAATAATTGTTACCAATTTTACTAACCGCTGGTGAATCTGTATCAATTCTCTTTTCCTAGAACAATTAGCCTAGGAGCCAGATTTAAAATGAAATCTGAACTAATTACGGTAGTTTTTGCAGATTTATCACTATACTGCCAAAAATGGCATACTGTTCCCAGAAAGAAGAGTATGGTTTTATATAAATGTCAGTCTTAGGACCACATAATCAATAATAGAGTTTACTCATTATTCCTGATTACAGATATTTAGGACAGTCCTGCATATAGTCATTAGCCAAGGAAAAGACTGGCTGAAATTACTGAAAGTTCTATCCTGAGCAATTACTTTAGAACTAGGCTGCAGCAGGATAAAATCTGCTTAGGAAAAGAAATGTATATGGGTATTGTGGCCCATTTGTATAATCATTTTTCACAGAAGAAAAGCCAGTAACTGATGACTTCTCGCTCTCAGCTCTTTTTACTTGAGCGTCCTTTTAAAATGCTCAGGTTTATGTAAATGCAATCGCTTTGCTCTGCTGGCCCAAAACTGAACAAAACAAATGGCATTCCACCTGAGACAAGAAAATACCTCTTCCGTTTTGCCCTTAAAATGTTGTTTTATTTACAATATTTATATACAGTTGTACCTTGGAAGTCAAATGGAATCCGTTCCGGAAGTCTGTTTGACTTCCAAAATGTTCGAAAACCAAAGCGCGGCTTCTGATTGGCTGCAGGAAGTTCATACAGCCAATCGAAAGACCCATCGGACATTCGGCTTCCAAAAATAGTTCGCAAACCGGGACACCCACTTCCAGGTTTGTGGTGTTCGGGAGCCAAAATATTCGAGAACTAAGTTGTTCAAAAACCAAGGTATGACTGTACTACCATTAAAAAAAAAAAATCACAGCAGCTTACAACTAACCAATTATGCAAGGTTTAAGTAGGAATCTCTGGCTCTCCAGAGGTTGTTGAAACTCCCATTTCCTCAGTTGGTAAGAGCGGGGTGCTGATAACACCAAGGTTGACGGTTCGATCCCAGAATGGGACAGCTGCATATCCCACACCAAGATGAAAACTTGATCCTCTAATGTGGTTATTTCAGGAAGAAACACAGAAACACTGGATTCATAGAAAATCTTTGGAAGAAATAGAGGCTGCTCCATTTTAACATTGCTTTCCTCACAAGGAGGCCACGCAAAAAGTGTTTCTGCATAGGTTGAATGTGGGCACTGCACAGACCGACCATAACAGATCATATGCTGGCCTGATCCTACACAGCATCTCCACACCATCTCCATCCTATGTACAGTGGTACCTCGGGTTAAGTACTTAATTCATTCCGGAGGTCCGTTCTTAACCTGAAACTGTTCTTAACCTGAAGCACCACTTTAGCTAATGGGGCCTCCTGCTGCCGCCGTGCCGCCAGAGCACGATTTCTGTTCTCATCCTGAAGCAAAGTTCTTAACCTGAGGTACTATTTCTGGGTTAGCGGAGTCTGTAACCTGAAGCGTATGTAACCTGAAGTGTATGTAACCCGAGGTACCACTGTACAATCATATGCATCAATTATATTCTCAGGCCTTTAAGATGTTGCAGCTCTTTAGCAGAAAGCTGCCATTGTAAAAAAAACCAAAAAGGTACTTAAGTTTTACCGAGAACTACACTTGTATAATGAGCCTGAAAATATAGCCTCAGGGAAGAAGCTGGAAGCAAGAGACAAAACTTTTACCTGCAAGTCCATGTTTAAAATTGCAGCTACAGAGAACTAGTGAGAAGTCCTTAAGCGGTAGTATATATATCTTGACAATGACGAAACCCATGACTTCCAGTGCTTGCTATTTTTAAGCTAAAGGGCTTCTGTTATTTTGGGCAACTTGCTAATGAGCAACATGTCATCACAGAAATAGACTAAGATTTGAAAGGCTTATGTCCAAAACCAGCATTTCCCAACCTGGTGCCTTCTAGATGCTTTGGACCACAATGTCTAGTATTCTTATTCTTATTCTTATAATTACATCTCCTTTTTCCTTGACAGGGACTCTAGGTGGCTTACAGGTAAAATAAGAACAGCTAAAAACAAGGGGATAGGACACACAATAATGAAATACTGTAACCATTGACCATGCTGGAGCTATGCTTCTTTTCTGAACCATGTAACAATGGTTCAGCACTGACTGACAGTACCGTACAGTGGTACCTCGGATTACATACGCTTCAGGTTACAGACTCCGCTAACCCAGAAATAGTACCTCGGGTTAAGAACTTTGCTTCAGGATGAGAACAGAAATTGTGCTCCGGCAGCATGGCGGCGGCAGGAGGCCCCATTATCTAAAGTGGTGCTTCAGGTTAAAAACAGTTTCAGGTTAAGAACGGACCTCCAGAATGAATTAAGTACTTAACCCGAGGTACCACTGTACTGGGCCCCATTCAAGGTCATGTTGATAACTTACAGTGCCCTGAATGACTTGGGTCCCTGTAGGGGCACCTGTCCCATTATCCACCAGCCTGTACTTTAAGATCTACCGGGAAGGCCCTCCTTGGGATCCCACTACAGGATATATTGCAGTGATCCAAGGAAAGGGCCTTCTCAGTTGTGGAACCTCATCTGTGGAACTCCCTCCTGCTAAAGTTAGGTTTGGATCCCTATTTGTTGAATTTTAGTCGGGTGTGAAGACTGCAGACCTATGTGTCAGAGTGTTTCTGTCTGACTTGCTGTGGTTTTTGTTTTCAAGCTTTTTTTGAAGGGTGTGTGTTGACAGTGTTGTGTTTTGTTATGACTTTGATAGCAAGCCACCGTGAAAGGACCTTAGTGTGTGAAGCTCAAGCTGGGGAGAGCGTAAATTTAAATGAGGGCATGTCTCACTCATCCTGTCTCTGCTGAGGCCCAGCCCAACATAGCCAGCCTAGGGCCTAAGGAAGGGGCGTTCTGGGGGCGGGACCAGAGCTGGATCCTAAGCCTATTCGCTTGGTCACATGACGTGGTAACCCAGTGTAGGTTGTGCTGTGGTCCAAACCACTGAGCCTCTTGGGCTTGCCAATCGGAAGGTCGCGGTTCGAATCCCTGCAACGGAGTGAGCTCCCGTTGCTCTGTCCCAGCTCCTGCCAACGTAGCAATTCGAAATCACACCAGTGCAAGTAGATAAATAGGTACTGCAGCAGTGGGAAGGTAAACAGTGTTTCCGTGTGCTCTGGTTTCTGTCACGGTGTTCCATTGCGCCAGAAGTGGTTTAGTCATGCTGGCCACATGAACCAGAAAGCTGTCTGTGGACAAACACTGGCTCCCTCGGCCTGAAAGCGAGATGAGCGCTACAATCCCATAGTCGCCTTTGACTGGACTTAACCATCCAGGGGTCCTTTACCTTTACCCTTAAGCCAGCAAAAAGGATAGGATAACTCAAATCCTTTTCTAAAGGCTTCCTTTCCCTCTGTCAGGCTCAGCCAGCAGTACCCCTGCTCTTGAACAGAGTTTACAATCTGGCTTGCTTTATGCCAGCTTCTTGCATATTATGTACACAAATTTAATAAGCAAACAAATAAACAAAATAGGATTGCTCCCTTAGTCAACAGAGAAAGAGTAGTCCTCTAGCTATTACACTTTTCAAGTATAAGAAAGTACCATAAAGCCATTGCAACGCTGCCAGGCAAACCTTTTAAGTACACTTCCTTGCAAACCAAACTGCTACAGTAACGATTCTTGTTTCTCTACCAATAAATACATTAACTGAATGCAATTATCAGGCTGATACTGAAAATTTAAGGAGAAATCTTCATTATGGAGGAAGATTGCTTGCAGCGACAATTGCGCAATGAGAAAAGTCAGGGGAAACCCAGATACAGTGGTACCTCGGGTTAAGTACTTAATTTGTTCCAGAGGTCCGTTCTTAACCTGAAACTGTTCTTAACCCGAGACACCACTTTAGGTAATGGGGCCTCATGCTGCCGCCATGCCACTGCCGCATGATTTCTGTTCTCATCCTGAAGCAAAGTTCTTAACCTGAGGTACTATTTCTGGGTTAGCGGAGTCTGTAACCTGAAGCGTATTTAACCTGAAGCGTCTGTAACCCGAGGTACCGCTGTAAGGGGAGACACCCTCAAAACAAGTTTCAGGGGGAACAGCACTCTGTGAACAGGCTTCCTGGTGCCGCTGGACTACCGGCTATGCTGGTTGGGGTGAAGAGGAGCTTGAACCCAACAATGTCCGGCGAGCACCGGGTTGGGAAATGCTGCTCTACATTGAGCAAAGTGCTGAGATGCAGGAAGAACTTCAGCTCCAGCTAGAAAGCATTCGCAATGCCAGTGCTGCTGAGAGGTGAGATCGCAGGATGAAGGGCTCTGGCTCATTACAAAGGGGCAAGGTGTCTCACCCATCAGCTGATCATCAGGTCGCACAGCTATCTTTAAGGTCCCCAAATAATTCCACCTAGGATTCTGAAGAGTTATGGCAGGAATTCTACCATAGGGATAAAGGAAGAGTTGTCTGGCATTTATGTTTTCCCGAGATGGGAAGTGGACTGCACCAGAGGTAGCCAACATCATGTTTTCCATTATTGCATTTATATCAAGGAGTTCAAGGTAGCATATATGGCTCCATGTTATTCTCACAACAACCTTGTGAGAGAGGCTGAAAGTTGGTGATTGGCCCAAGGTCACCCAGTGAGCTTAATGGCTGAGTGGAGATTTGAACCCCTGTTTCCTAGATCCTATTCCAACACCCTAACTCAGGCATAGGCAAACTCGGCCCTCCAGTTGTTTTGGGACTACAACTCCCATCCTCCCTAGCTAACAGGACCAGTGGTCAGGGATGATGGGAACTGTAGTCTCAAAACATCTGAAGGGCCGCATTTGCCTATGCCTGCCCTAACTTCTACACAACGCTGGGTTCCCCAGTGTACTGGACTCAAACTCTCATCAGCCCCAGCCAGACAACATGGGCAATGGTCAGGGATGATGGGAGTTACAGTCTAACAACAACTGATGTACACTCTGTTGGCTCCCACACTTCCAGGTTTTCATAAGGAACTAGGCAGGCACTTATAAGTTGATAAAAAACTAGAGAGCCCAGTGATCAACAGTGTGTTTTTGCCCCACAGCTTCTACATAATTTCAACATTAAGTGAACATTTTCACAACCAGCTTTTTTCAGACATCTTGGTCAGGATCCAACAAGCCTATAAAGGAGCATGTGAGAGAACTACGTACGGAGCCAAGAACTGCTTTAAACATTTCCATTGCAGCTGCAGCTCACACGGCTAACAAAGCCATTTTTCTGACTAAAATAGCTTTGCTGGATCACTGTCTTGTCACCTGCCTACAGGCCTTGAGGTGGAGAAGGATAACCATAATCCCAACAAATTAGCTAAGCCAATTATTGCTCATTTGGGCCTCACATAAACAAAGGCCGCATCCCCACCATGCATTTAAAGCACTTTAAAGAGTCATGGCTTCCCCCAAAGAATTCTGGGAACTATCTTTGTTAAGGGTGGTGAGAGTTGCTAGGAGACCCCCATTTTCCTCACAGAACTACAATTTCCAGAGTGATTTAACTGTCAATCCTCCCTCCCAGGGAACTCTGGGAAATGTACAGTAGCTCTGTGAGAATAGGGGGTCAAATGTTTGGTGTGGCCTAACAAGCAGTACTTACAACAGACAGCTCGTACAGGAAACGCCTTGTATTTCTGTTATCGTGGCAGACTTCCTTGAGCTTCTTCACAACGTAGGCTACTTTTTCTGATTCTTTGTCAGCTTGTACATCACTGAAAGCATCCAAAGACATGTTCGAAAATCCAAGGGCATCAGCTAAAGCTTTCCAGTCGTTCATTTTCTCCGATACCGTGGATAAGATTGCTGCGTAGATATAAGTCAGCTTTCTAAAAGGTAAAGCAATTTGCTCAAGAAGGCTTTTGGTTGTGATTGTGCTATCATCAATATCCATAACTTGGTCTTTGGCTATCACTTTGACATTTTTGCAGTGTACAAGGCCAACTTTTCTTCTAAGAACGCCCACGTACCATTCTTTTATTTTAGCCTGTCCGATGGCTTTCACCTTATCTTCGCCAAGAAGCGCTATTGTGTCGCCTTTAAAATATTCCAGCAAATAGTCAATTTTATTTTGACGCAACACTGTCTTCAAAGCTACACCATAGCTGGCAACGTGTAAAGCTTTGTCCTGAAAAACTGGATATTTAATTGTTGGCATCGACAGCAGTGGGGCAGAGTTGACCGCCTTGCGTCTTTCTAATCGGTTTGGCTTGTTGAACACCCCAGTTAATGGCTTTGGAGCTGGCTCAGGGGTTGTGATGTAAAACTGGCACACCACGTTGTTGCTTGGGACTTTCACCTGGACGCGGAAGACAAATAGATGTATTTTCCTTCTGTTGATTATAGAAAATGGGAAGTGCTGGTGAATCACTTCGCCGCCCCCTTTCAGTATCCCTTCTTTAATTTCTTTCCTCTGATCCTCTTCCTTCACTTCAAAATCAGGGTCACAAGAGGCCACAAAAACGTTAAGATCTTGAGGCTTCTCAAGTGCAAATGTATGCTTTCCCCAGAGCTGGAAAACAACCGGGGGCATGCTCTTTCCACCCTTTTTAATGTCACATACTGTAAGCTTCTCTAGAACATAGTTGTGGCCAAACAGAGCAAATACAACTGTGAAAGAAGGGTGGATATGTTTGGGTCCATAAATCCCAACTGAGAGCTTTCTGTGTATATACTCCCAAGTGCTTGCAGGTGAATTAATTGTATTGGTTTGGGCTACAGCCACAATGTACATCAAGTGACTTAGGTCTGTCAGCTTGACTTGGACAGTATCTTTATAGATGTAACAGTTGTTTATTCTTTCAAACGGGCCCTCTTTGGTGAAACCACATAGACATACAATTTCAGTCATAACCTGACTGAAAGGGTCCTTCTTCACCTCGGCTGCAATTTTCATTTCAAGCAAAATGGCTTCTGTGGTATTGAGGTTACTTAATGTCAGTTCAATCAGAGGGCTCACAGTGGTCGAAAACTCATGGTTGAGCGATGGTGGGGAGTCAAGGATTGCCTGTAAGCCAACCTCTTGGAATTCTCCAAAGGCTACGTGGCCTTCGGGGAAATGGACCGCAATCTCCGAGTCAGGAAGCTGCACTGAGCCGCCTTCATGACTCACTTTGCAAGCTATATGGGTTTCTACAGACTGGGTTTGGGCCCATCCCGGACTCTGGTTTATTGCATTCAAATCCAGGCAAGATCGGGCCAGCTGCCTTTGATTCAACCACGCTGTCTTATAGGCTTCACGGTCATTCTGAAGAGGTTCACTGTTTGGAGGCAGGATATGGTTGGACGGTGCCGTGCTAGGGAGTTCAAATGTCTTAGTCCCTACAATATCCAAAAGATCTGAAACACTCCGAGATTTTGCCGATCTCCTGGAAGATTTGCGAAGAAAAAGATAATCAAGATTCAATTCGTCTCCAGACGAAGCAGCCGAGTCTCTGTTATTTAGATCTCTAAAAAATAAATAGGGGTCTTCTTTTAAGATGGATATGTGCTTGTCACTTTTTTCTCTGTTGTTTGACTGAGCTACATCGTCTAAAAACGGATTGGATGCTGACAGTACATTCCAAAAAGGATTGGTCTTAAATGCTCCAGGGACACGTTGCTTAAATTCTTCAGACCAATGGGACTTCAGCTCCAGTTCATTTTGTCTGTCATCTGTTAAAAAGAAGAAAATGAAGTTAAGTATGGCGACTTTATATTTATTATCTTCTACCTAATATTCTGCATTTGTCAAGATACTTCAGTTTCCCTTACATTAACTAAAAGTTTCAGCTGCAATATGTTGTTTTTATTTTGATTATATATTTTGTGGTTTTATATTTTGATTTTGTTCTCTGAACCACCCTGAGACCTCTGAGTATAGGGCACTATATAACTTCAATAAATAAAATAAAATAAAATAAGCCAAGCATTTATCAAGCAAACGTAGATTCCGATCAGAACTCTGCTTAAGAAGGTAGGATGCTAGCAACATACCTGTCCAATCATTTCTTGCAGGGCTGCCGTCATCCAAGTCAACCAGACATCCCTCTGACTTACTCCATGAAATGTCACTCCATGAAATGTCCTTTATATGACAGGATGCAGACATCTTCCTTCCTAACAGATTTAAGACAAGTTGCTTTACTAACCAATAAATGTTTTAGAACCACGAGGCATAAATTGTAATCAAAGTCCAGAAAGAAATTAACGTCACAATAGGGAGGCATGGATAGTTGCCTATTTGAGTTTAGGCTCACTTACCTGGGAGGAAGCCCCATTGAATTCAACAGGACTTACACCTGAGCAGACATTGGTTAAGACTGCAAGTCATGTTGTGCGGGCTGTTTATCCCTGCGCAGTCTTTCAAAGTAATTTCTTCTCCATGCACAGAGGAAGGAATTACAATAACAGAAGCAGATTTTGCTCTCCTTCCCTGTGCCAGATTTCCCACTTGCTGAATGTCTGCACAGGGTCTGTGCTTATAAAGTCCCATAGGTACCTGCAGGGCCGTCTTTATCATATGCACCACCAGGGTGCAAAGATCCACCCAGCGCCCCCAAATATAGTTTATTTCATGTGCACGGCGCCATTGAGAATGACAAGTACCATTGCTGGTGCGGCACATCTTTGGTAAATGAGCGCATAAAGTCAAAAGTCCTTTAGTGAAACAGTAGGTATACATTTCGGTAATACCTAGGTATATATGTATTTTGTTTTTGTAGCTTGATCAAAATTATTTATTATTTCATAACAGGTAGATAGCTAAGAGCTTAGGTGGCTTCAGCAGCGGGCACCTTGTGCCCCCCCCGAACTCAGTGCCCGGGTGTCCCACACCCCTTGCCCTCCCGAGTAAAGACAACCCTGGGTACGTGTTCTTGTTGCCACATAGAAAGAAGGGACCTGATTTGCCAATTCAGTTTTAGCATCCAAAGTAAATATTGCATGTAGAGCATGGGTAGGCAAACTATAGCCTGGGGGCTGGATCTGGCCCAACTGCTTTCTAAATCCGGCCCACAGGCGGTCCGGGAATCAGCATGTTTTTACATGAGTAGAATGTGTCCTTTTATTTAAAATGCATCTCTGGGTTATTTGTGGGGCCTGCCTGGTTTTTTTACAAGAGTAGAATGTGTGCTTTTATTTAAAATGCATCTCTGGGTTGTTTGTGGGGCCTGCCTGGTGTTTTTACGAGAGTAGAATGTGTGCTTTTATTTAAAATGCATCTCTGGGTTATTTGTGGGGCATAGGAATTCGTTCATGTGGTTTTTTTCCAAAATAAAGTCTGCCCCCCCCCCCAAGGTCTGAGGGACAGTGGACTGGCCCCCTGCTGAAAAAGTTTGCTGACCCCTGAGATAGAGTATAATGGCAACCCAGTTATAATGATTCTCTCGGACACTGCCTGTTTGCAAAATTTACGGAAGCAAACACAGAATGCTACTCCCCCAAAAGAATTGATTTTTGATTTTTCAATACATCTTTGTCTAGAAATGTAAACACTAGACTTGGCAAATAATTCCAGCCTCTTAAGAGCGATACTCTTATAAAGGGGCACTCAAAGATTCCAAAACACTGAGATAAGGCTATCATTTAAGTTCTCTAGAACTTAACACAGAACTCCATATCCATGCCAGAAAAGGTGTGTATTTTATAACACAGCCAAGAAGGGTGGCACAAGGGCGTTTTGTTTAATCCGAATGCAGGTCAGTAAGCAGGGGGAGAAATGCACTCTTTGTTTTATCTGACAGTTTTTTCAACATACACTGTACAATGTGATCTTTCATAGGTTTGTGTTTAAAACATACAATCATAGATGAAACAGAAACTAGTTCCACATACTGGCGTTTCCGTATGTTTTTGTTTTTATTATTTCAGGGATTTATATATACTAACTGCCCTGCATAATATGTATACCAGGATAGTTTACAATAAAACACAGCAAAACAATTAGAAATGCACTAAAAGTGCCCAAAAAACACTACCAGTATTTTAGATATATGTAAAAAGTGGTTTAAAAGCCAGGGAGCGTTTTAAAAAAGGTATTACAGATTAAACAATATAGGCAGCAGGAATATGCTTTTTGGGTTGCTACAGTTGAGAAGGGACTCTGCCTACCTGTATACAGTAACTGGGATAGATACGTTGCCAACTACAACATCCCAATATATTGAAACTTGTCTTACGACTTGGAAACACCAGCTTCCATTTGAAATGGGAGTATGCACCAACTACGTTATTTACCTCAGGATTTGATTTAGTGCTTTGGAAAACAGATCAGTTCACCTCAGATCCATTTGATCCTGATTCAGCTCATGTTCGAAACCCAGTTTGGCAGAACAAGACATTTATGATTCCCCATTTACTATTATGGAGAAATAAAAAATGGCTACATTCCCCCCCTTTTTGATAGAATCTGATGAAAATGGCTGAAATTGTTTGTTTGTTTGTTATATTGCATAACACCTAAGAAATTCCAGAAGAACAGTGCAATGGCTTGTTGCTGTTGTTGCTGGGCTCCTTTAAAATGCAATTGCTGTCTTTTAGATAATACTGTAATCAATAACTCTCTTCTTTTTTGGCTGAATTGGACAAAACTTTCATAAACAGCAGCCCCCTCTGAGGGAAGGAACAAAGCCAAATTTCTGAAGGACACTGGCAGTAGTTTCTTCTGCAAGAACAGCCTTTGCCAGTTTGGGATTTATTTTTTTATTTTAATCACTTAATACCCCTCTATTGTTTTGTGAAGCAATTTAGATGAAAATTGCATATATTAGAGAGACACCACTAGGTATCATATATTACAGGTAGATTACCCTCAGGGTCCCTTCCAACTCCACAATTCTATGATTCTAGGTAAGAAACCTGCAAAATTTCCGAAGTATATAGATGCAGGGATTTTTTTGTGCTAGACATTTTTAAAGTTGACCGGGGTTGAGAATTAAAAGGGATTGGCTTCCTTCCCTGTGGTTTTGTAGGTGATGGCTTTAGTATGAAAATGGCATATGTCATAGAAGTGCCCTCTAAAAAAATAACCTGCATAATTTCTGTAAAATAGAAAAAGAAGCAGGCAGTCATTATGAATGTGAGAGGGGAGAAAAAGAGCTTCAGATCAGAGCTCTGCTCAGTTAGCACCCCCAACTCACAGCAACTCAGGCGATGTACACATTATTGGCTTAAAACACAATTGGCTTATAACACAACATGGTTTTTCCCAATTTTTTCTGGGCCTTGGTTTTCCCTACTCAGCTGTTTACTTCTATAAAATGGCATTTGAAGGAAGTAGTGTTGGGGGCAGGGGGAAATAAAGTCAAGAGCTTGAGGGGGGGTGCCCCCATATTTCTCTGTGGCACAACTGTTTTCTCCTCGTTTCTTTTAGTGTGAGAAAGCAGCCAGTTATTAGCTAGTCTCTTTACAGGAGACTGAGCTACATGCTCTATAAAAGTAATAAATGCCAATTTAAACTGCTTGTGGCAGACCCAAAAAAGAGAGCTTTTTACACTATTTAAGCACTTGAGAGCATCCTTAGGGCATTTCTTGGGAGACTAGCTAGCACGACATTTAAAGAGTTTACCTCAGAAAGCTGAGCACACTGCTCAGCTTGTTTTCTGGTTCCTTGGTGAACTTTTAAAATACACAGCAATTTTAAATGCTCTATTTCAGTATCCTGGGTTATATATATATCTTTGAATCACCTTTATGTTTTACTCAAATGTTTCTAATATTATACTGCTTGACATTCAATAAACATATTGACCTAATAAACAAAACTCCTGTAGGGATTGACAGGGGGGAAATGGGCATCAATAGTTTCAGGAACACATTACCCAAAGAGAGAATTTAAGCATTGAACTTTTCATTTTGATGGGTACTACTGGGCTGACAAACCTGCTAAAAAACACAAGGGAAAGAAAAACGTCTCTTAGTGAAATATATTTCAGCTCTAACAAGTGAAGCCAGACTTTGCCACCACAGCAGCAAAATCCTCCAGTTCATTACAAAATAATCTTTGTTTTCCCCAGCAACAGAAGACAATGCAGCCGGAGGTATTGCTACATATTGTTCTGACTAAGGTGTCCAGACCATGGGAGGCAGATACATGCATCTGTTTTTCAACACTAAATTTATCTGGTGATTGACTTTTCCATTCTTAGCTGTTCTAATTAGGAGCCTAGATAGCCGTTAGGCTTGTTCTAATTTCTCCAGGTAGCAAATTCCCTTCGAGTTCCTGTATCAGGATTTCTGATTTTGCCCAAAGCAGAAATGGATGGATGTTGATTGGACAAGAGCAAGCAAGTATTGACCACAAAGTGCACAAAACTACAGGATACCAAGAAACAAAACTCAATAATTCCATCCCAATAATTCCTGATGACATGGCAAGAGAAGCCAACATCATTTCAAAACCCATCATAAGATCTACTAGAAATGCACAGGATTGGGTAGAACACTGCAAATGTTGCACTTGGTAGCTAATGATATTATTTTGCGTCTCTGCCAATATGTTCCTAATAAAGACATTGCTTAAGTAAGCATTTACAACTGACAGGTTAGCATTTACGCTGACGGATTCAAAACTGGCACACTAAATGCAGCCTTAAAATATAGGAGCCTTGCAGCAAGGCGACAACCCAGCCCTGACTTCCAAAGAGGCTCCTGGTCTAGACATATGGCATGCTGAGGTGTGAAGTTGCATGCAGGTGGAGGTGTGCCGTGTGAAAACCCTAAAATACTGCAAATAAAATAAAATGAAGAAAAGTTCTACTCCAGTTGCACTCTCTACAATGCTAGCACTGGATTTGCATGAATTTCTTTGTATGTGCTTTTCCCATCCTTGGGTCCCCCATACGTTGCTGGACTACATCTGGGGACTGGAGGTTGGGAAAGGCTGATAATGCAATTCCACACCTCCAGTTCTTCGGTTCTATCATCTTGGGATTTTTCTTCCTCATTCTGCTGCATGTGTTGAGGCCAGCTGACCTCCTCCCTCCTCTCTATTTGTTAACAGTTTAGAATAGCTCAGATGAAGGGAGGCGTGTGGAAGTAAGAGCTGGAGAAGAAGAGGATTTAGTCCTTACTCCTCATCTTTGCCTCATCTTCCTTCTTGTGTCCCCAAGTCAGAGATGTGAACCCTGGGCCCTTACAGATGTTGCTGGGACTCCAACACCCATCATCCCTGACTGTTGGCCATGCTTGCGAAGGCTAATCAGAGTTGAGAGTCCAGCAACAACTGGAGGGTCACAGGTTCCCCATCCCTGGCCTAAGCAGATCCATAAATGTAGGCCACTTTGTTCCATTTGTGGAACTGGGGATGACTGGAGAGAGGGGGCATATGGCGAGTTCCTCCTCCACCATCTTCTAGGAATGTCAACTATATCAGCTGGCAGGACTCCTTTCAATAAAAAATACAAACATTATGGTCTTTCCTGGGATGGAGATACAATGAAAAGCTATACCTGTTTAAATTTTACCTGCCACAAACAAACATACCACAAAAAGATATATGGCAACCCTGCTTACTGAATAGTCCCGCCCCACACTCCACCCATCTTCTTGACTCTCTTCCTCCCCAATGACATGGATCTTCTTGAAAATTTTCTGACTAGAAAATTTCCTAGGCCAAGTGGGCTAATTTGCATTGGAATTTTTTTTATGCCATAGGGAGGGATCTAACTCAGCATGCTTATTTTACTTGCCTTTAATGAACAAAGCTAAAAACTCTGAAACTGCCAAGCTTGCCTAACATTGTATTTGCAATCGGCACCCATTTGTTGTTAATGACGAACTTATGAAATCAAAAAGTACCCGTGGAAAAATACAGCACTGGCAAAATTTTCGTGGAAAATTCTGTCCCATATCACTGTTCTTCCCCCAGCCACTTCAGGAAGTTCAGGCAACACAACCCACCGGTTCTTTCATTGCTTTTAAACCTTTATTGCTTTTCATTAGAACTGAAAATCATTGCCTCTTAAATATAAATTGAACAGGAGTGCTACAGCTCAGTAGCTTTAAAGCCAGTCGCTGACAATCCCACAGCCGCCTACACTCTATCAAGGCTTTTTGTAGAGTAAATTTATCTTCACATAACAATGGACAGTTGAGCGTGATTTGGATTTGCTTTTACAGTCTATTTCCCGTTAATGCTTCATATTTCAGAAATATATAGAATCTTTCGAAAAAGTCTGAGGATGCTGGTTGGTCACCCTGGGTGTTCTGAACTCACAGGAACCTAACAAGCCTTCCACTTTGAGCAAAAGGACACCAGCTCATATTTTGTCACAACGGCGAAAACTAAGAGAAACATTCCCTGGCTGAGAACCAAGCTTCCTTGCCGATAGCAATGTATATCATAAGTGCAAGTTCAGTACATGCCTGCACAATCAGTCATACAGAAAGAGTAAAACACAGTCTGCCATTAAATATGCTGTACCGTGCTGAAATTTGGAGGAATATGGTTGTGTAACTAAACTAAGACAGTGCCACTCAAGTCTGAGGTGAGGAAAGACCTGACTGTACATATTAAACAATTCGAAATATGCATGCAGTGGGTGGGTTGCCTTAAGGCAGCGATGGGGACCTTGTGGCTCTCCAAATGTTGAACTCCAGCTCCCATCAGCCCTGATGATTGGCCATGATGGCAGGGGCTGATGGGAGTTGGAGTCTGGCATCTGAGGGGGTGAGGTACAGGATCCCCATCTCTGTCTCAATCTCTTAATGAAAGATAATATACACTCTTATTTTGAAAGGCCACTCAGTTACCTAGTCCAGGTTCCTTTCAGTAGGCAATATTTTTCTTAAGAAAAGGTACCAATAAATACTATTGGTAAATCTCACTTGTTGCCACACAGGGTACCTTCATGACAAACATTTACAGTTTCATCACATGCATTAATTTCATCACATAAAAATCAAGGTATGAATTGGCAATTATTTTCTTAGGGGTAAGGTCATGCTTGACATGACCTTGGAACTGAAGAGAAACTATTAACAAGTTTCTCAGTAGTGAAGAATAACTTCATTAGGTAATTAGAATATCAAGAGGCTTCCCACTAACTCCCAAAACTATGAAGAACTGCTACAGAGATTCAAATAATCCACCCCAGGGTTGTATTATTATTATTCTTATTATTATTATTATTACTTTTTAACCTGCCTTTTTCCTGACAGGAGCACATGGCAGCTTACAGATAAAAATAAGAACAGCTAGAAAAATAGGGGGAAACAATAATTAAAAAACAATCAAGCATTGGTAGAATTAAGACACACACACACAATAATATCTGTTAAAACCATACAAATACCTATGTGAAAGAGATGAACCACACATCTACTTTACCAAACAGATATCCTTTTTTTAACATAACACCAAGACTAGAAATAATCAGTCTATCCATGCAGAGCTCCACACACACACACACACACACACACATGCTTATCAAGTTTTCTCTGGAGCAAGCACTGTGCCAAGAGGGTTGTGCGACTTAACCCGAAGAAGGTATGTGTCAAAACCAAGACTGAAAAAACACCATTAATAAATTAAGTTTGATAGGATTATGAGAAAAGTCTAAAAAGCCTGAAATGTAACACAGAAGCCAATTAAAATTGCTATAACTAAAATGCAGAATAAAGCACTTAGGGAAGAAATAACTCAAGGCAGACACTGAACAGCTGGGAATTAACCAAAGCCTCTCTGAAAACTCAAGCACCGTAATGGGCAATTTAATGAGGGTGTCTATTGAGTGCAAAGCTCAGGCAGAGAAGCGATTAAAGGAGGGGATGGCTTTTAAATATGAAAGTTTTGCGTCTATTACGGTTTATAAATTGATAATATAATCCCATTTTGACCTGTTAAAGTATTTATTACAAGATAATTTACAAGTAACTGGCAGAAGGAAAGGGATTACAGGAAGCGTAGAAAGCAGTAAGGTTTCTAAATTGCTAAGCAGAAAAACCTGCAACTATAAGTGAGGATAGGGCCATTTATTTTGGAAGACAAAAGCCTGTCAAGAAAAAACTATGCCAGCTTAACTGTATTTTCCCCTCATCTCTTCCCTCACCAGCTTTTCCTACAGTGAATTAATAGCCTCTCCGTCATTATAAAGAAGAGAAAGCCATGTTCAATAAGACGACTAACACAGCTTCTAATTAGTATTTTGAGCAAACTGCTACAGGATACTTTCGAGTTAGCTTAGCAAATGCAGCGGTGTCCATCCAATTTTAAATAGCTATGAGGTAAACTTCAAGGCCAGTCATCATTTAGCCTCAGGGTAAACTGTGGTTCGACATAATTTTGTGCACAAGCTCTAATGCAGTTTGTATATCACAGTGAGAAAGGCTGTGTGCAGTTATCGTAACCAACTTGCTGCATCTGGTCCAGAGGCTTCCAAATTTAGCTAGATAATCCCAATCTGGTGCATCTGACAGCTGCTGAAGAAGACTGGGAGCCCAGACCCACCAGCAACTCAAGCCACCAACATTTCGGTGACTGAAACAGTTGCAGTGATGGATAACACATAAGATGATACGTATCCTACCACTGGCAGGATCCCAGCCAGTGGTAACTCAAAGAAAGCTCCCAAAGGCAGTTTGCAGGACAGAGCCAGCCCAGAATTCTCTGAATGTACTGCCCTCCACCCCTGGCAGAGTGAACAGTAAAACAGCATAAGCAATGGTGACTGCCCAGCTAGAGTCTGGATTGCAAGTTGCGAGCTATCCTTTATATACAGAAAATGTTGAATTCCATTATATTCCAGTGGGTTGGTTCCAAAGTGGCCCAATCACAAGTGGAAGGCACTTCAGCTTGAGCAGGGAACAGAAAAGGCTGCCTTATGCCAACTGGTTCATCCAGCTCAGACTATGCTAGATGGCAACAGCTCTCCAGGGTTTTAAACAAGGGACGTTCCCAGCCCTACCAGATGCCATGAATGTTCTGCATGCAAAGCAGATAGTCTACCATTGATCGATGGCCATCAGCAAAGGGAAGCTCTCAGTTTCTGCTACCTCCTCCAGTGACATCCTTCTATACCCCACACTGCTCTCATAGGTTTCCCAACACATAAATGTGGGTTTTCACAGGACACAAGCGGTGGTTCCTAAAACAAAAGAAAGAAAGAACCATCCCACAAATGGAACTCAACTCACATTGAATTGGATGTAAATAATTGTATCTCCAGTTTCAAGTGATTCATCATTTTAAAGTTTTGGGCCAAAAAGTACAACTGCTACAAACACCTACTGTATCCTCATACTTCAGATTCTGGCCCATCAATCAACCAGTTCAAATTCTCTCATTAGTCAAAAGTCTTACATTACATCAGTAAAACCTTGTAGCAAAGAATGCAACACAAACTTTCTGTTCTTTATGCTATAATAGGCCATATATAATGCACTACCATGCCATTTGGATTAAGTCACATCCTGTAAAAAATATGGCTAGGATTAGGAATAAGATGTATAATTGAATGTTTCCTTCTTTTGTGATGTGAGGCAAAGAATAGAAGACCTCAGAACTGTCATTTTACCCAGCACTGAGTAGTGTTGACTCCTCATAAAAGGAGTTATCGGGGCATTGTTTCGATCAGCTAACCCTTCCACAGAATCGATGTTTAACATGCCAGGGGGCTCTTAACCACATTTGTAGGTTATCACCCAATGTCTTATGCTGGAAGCCAGCAGGGACTACTTTATCTCTGAAACGACTCCACAGCTTACATGGGCCAAGAGCCCTGTAACGAGAAAAGATTCAAGCCAGGAAGCTAATGGACTAAAAAGCAAAAGTGCCCTGGGAGTGTATGAAACCTTGTAAATTGCTCTGGGTTTTAAAATTAGTTCTCCTATTGATACAAACATCAGAAATGATTTTATAAAATGGGGAGTGATGCCCACAGGCAGGGGAGCCAACCTGAATAAAATATTGGGGTATTCCCCACCCCGCATTATTGATCACATGATCGATCACAGCATTGGGTAATCGATCACATGATGTAGTGCATGCACACTATTTGAATGGCAGTGCCCATCAGCTTTGGGGAGAGCGGTCCCCTCATATATTTTATGAGTGGGTGGGTGGGACGAAGGGACCTCGGCACCTAGGAGTCGACTCCAATGCCCACAGGTGCTTTCTACGTGGAAACAGCAGGATAAACTTGCCCCAAACTTAGGGGCGCGATGGCAGCGAAAGCTCCTTCTTAGTTGAAGGTAAAATGCGGCTCGGATGCTGAGGCTATACAGGCGTTGTGCCGATTTGTAAAAGAAAGGAAAAGAGATGGTCGCAGAGCGCGATCAGGAAGCGGATCCACCCCACATGCAAATCTGTCCATATCCATGTTGTCTCCCCAACCCCATTCCGCCCATCTCTCCCTCACCTGAACTTTGAAACTTTAAGGTGAAACAAAACCCACATACCTTTGGTCCTTTCTCCCTTCAAATCCGCAGCAGCTGCTTATCCTAAGGGCATTGCTTTGGAGACAAGCGTGTTCTAAAACGCTCTTGGGGATCCCATGCTGGCTTGAAATTTTAAAAAAAAGAAAAAGTGAACAGGTTAGGAATTCTAATTAGAAGACACACCTTCTGTTTGTGGGTTGGAGGCCGCAAGGTTTTCTGGGACTCTGAGTTCCGATGCCGCCTCGTAACTCCTATTGGAAGAAAAAATGAACTACATTACCCATAAGTCCATTCGACTCACCTGGGCCTCCACCTGAAACTAGGAAAGCTGGTCCGGCCACTGAAGTTTCACTTGAGGGCGGGAGAGAGAGTAAGAAAGAGGGGGAGTGCAGTCGGACTCTGGATTTTGTTTTCTTCGGAGTTTGCTCGGCTTGGCCCTGCTGTGGCCGAATGGGAATTAAAGAGTAGAGAGGAAATAACAGAGCTGAGGAATGCTGGGGCGAATTCTTTGCTTTTTAGCGCCTCGATTTCAAAGCTGTGAGAGCTTTAAAAATAGCCTCGAAACCTGAAAGACCGGATTATGGATAGGAGAAACTCTGAGCTGTCGCCAGGCAGATAAGCTGGGGTGGCACGAATGTTTTAGTTGTTGGGTATAGAAGAAATAGGGAAATGCCACTAAAGGAAAACAAAAGAACAGGTGACGTCTTAAGAGGTGATGCAGGAGAGGTTGGAGACATGACTGGTACTGGTGGTTGCAAAATAAATAAATAAATCATTATTTTATTCATTCATTCTAATATTTATATCCCTCTTTTTCTCCAAGGTGCTCAACGTAGTGCTCATGGTTTACCACCTTTCTATTTTATCTGCACAATAACCCTGTGAGGTAGCTTCAGGCTGAAGGACTGTGAGCAGCCCAAGGTCACACAGTATGGCTGAGTGAGGATTTGAACTCTAAACTCCCAGGTCCTAGTCTGACCCTCTTAGCCACAACTTTGCACTACCCCATACTGCCCCAGCTTTTGGAGACCGAAAATGTGGGCATGTCTCTTCTGAGGCCTGCTCCTGGGTAACTCAGGTGATTCACGCCTCACTGTCGCCCCGAAAAGGGCCTTTTTCCTGGGCAAGAGTGCAGCATGAGAGTGTGGCATCCAAAATGGCAGGTATGCTACCCACACAATGCACTTTTCATTAAGGTGTGAGTGCTATGTGTCTCCCAGACAGTTTTTATCCTGGCTGGGTTCTCAAAAGAAGATAATAATCCTAATCTTGATTGAAGTAGCCTATCCTGATTTTAGACCTTTGTTTTTATTTGCACTGTGCCTTCTGTGATTACTTGACTTCTGCCCTAGTGGCAAAGTTTATTCTGTGTAGTGGATGCTCCCCCCAAATTTCCTGCTATCCCATTCACTCCTCCAGCTGCAAGATATTAATGTTTTTAATAGGCTGCATCAGCAGAAGTATAGTATAGATCAAGAGAAGTACAGTGGTACCTTGGTTTATGAACTTAATCCGTTCCGGAAGTCTGTTCTTAAACCAAAGCGTTCTTTTTGGACAAGATGGATTGTTTCAAGAAGTGGCAGAAAGATATTTCTAGATTTGTTTGGCAGGGCAAGAAGCCTCAAATAAAATTTAAGATATTAACTGATGCTAAAGAAAGAGGTGGATTTGCCCTGCCAGACCTTAAACTCTATTATGAATCAGCTGCTTTTTGCTGGCTGAGAGAATGGCTGCTTCTTGAAAATACTGACGTGTTGAATTTAGAAGGTTTTAATAATGTATCCGGTTGGCATGCATACTTGTGGTACGATAAGGTAAAAGTACATAAAGCGTTTAAAAATCATATTGTTAGAAAAGCATTGTTTAATGTTTGGATAAGATATAAAGACTTGTTAGAAAAGAAAACCCTAAGATGGTTGTCACCAATGGAAGCGAAGGCACAGAAAAAACTCAATATGGAGGCCAAATGGCCGAAATATTGGGAAATTCTGGATCAAGATGGAGACAGAATAAAATTGCAGAGCTTTGAAAAACTGAAAAATAAAGTGCGAGATTGGCTCCATTATTATCAAATAATGGAGGCATACATTTGGACAAAAAAGTTGGTTTCCAGGTGGAAAAATCAAAATTGGAAACAGAATTGTTAGATTCAAAAATTAAGAATTTGTCAAAAATGTATAACTTGCTGTTGAAATGGAACACTCAGGATGAAACGGTGAAATCAGCTATGATTAAATGGGCACAAGATGTTGGACATAACATAATGATGGCTGACTGGGAACAGTTATGGACCACAGGTATGAAATTTACGGCATGTAATGCCCTAAGAGATAACTTAATGAAAATGATTTATAGGTGGTACATGACACCAGTCAAGTTTGCAAAAATTTACCATTTGCCCGAAAATAAATGTTGGAAATGTAACGAGACTGAAGGCACATTCTTTCACCTTTGGTGGGCATGCCCAAGGATTAAGACATTCTGGGAGATGATTTATAATGAAATGAAAAAGGTATTTAAATATACCTTCCTGAAGAAACCAGAGGCCTTTCTCCTGGGCATGGTCGGCCAATCGGTGCCAAAGAAGGATAGAACTTTTTTTATGTATGCAACAACAGCAGCAAGAATACTCATCGCGAAGTATTGGAAGACACAAGATTTACCCACCAGGGAAGAATGGCAGATGAAGTTGATGGACTATATGGAACTGGCGGAAATGACTGGCAGAATCCGAGACCAGGGAGAAGAGTCGGTGGAAGAAGATTGGAAAAAAATTAAAGACTATTTACAGAAATATTGTAAAATTAATGAATGTTAGAAAAATGTTGGAATGAAGTTATATGGCTTTAGTAGAAATGTTATAAGGAATTAAGTACAGATAGGTTAACAGAGCATTAAAGGAAAAATAAGGTTAGAATGAGTTAAGATAAATATAGGATAGAAAACAGAGGGAAATGGAAAGGAATTGCTGAAATACTGTAATTAATAGAAGTGGAATACAAAGAGGGAGGTGTGAGGAGGTCGTGGAAATACGTGAATGAAAGATGGGATAATGAAATTGTTTGATTTATTTTATTGTTTTTGTTTTGTTGTATTAATTTAATGTGTTGTATTGTATTGTCCTTTTTGTGCTTAAGTTTTTGGAAAAATAATAAATATTATTTTTTTTAAAAAACCAAAGCATTCTTAAACCAAGGTGTGCTTTCGCATAGGAGCAGGGGACTCAGTTTACAAATGTAACACAGTCAACAGGAAGCGAAACATGTTCTGCTTCCAAGGCAAAGTTCACAAACCAAAACACCTACTTCCGGGTTTGCAGTGTTCTTAATCCAAATTGTTCATAAACTAAGCTGTTCTTAAACCAGGATACCACTGTAATAGTCCCGCTCCATTCTGCCTTGGTCAGACCACACCTGGAGTACTGGGTCCAGTTCTGGGCACCATAGTTTAAGAAGGTTATGGACATGTGCAGAGTAGAGTGACCAAGTTGATCAAGGGTCTGGAAACCAAGCTTTATGAGGAATGGTTGAAGGAGCTGGGTATGTTTGGCCTGGTAAAACAGAAACTGAGAGGAGATATGATAGCCATCTTCAAATATCTGAAAGGCTGTCACATGGAGCTTGTTTCTCCTGCTCCAGAGTCTAGGACCCAAACCAATTAATTCAAGTTACAAGAAAGGAAATTCTGACTAAACATCAGGAAGTGCTTTATAACAGTAAGAGCTTTATGGCAGTGGAACAGACTCCCACAAGAGGTGGTAGACTCTCCTTCCTTTAAGGTTTTTAAGCAGAGGTTGGGTGGATATCTGTCATGGATGCTGTGGTTGAGATTCCTGCATTGCAAGGAGTTGAACTAGATGACCCTTGGGATCCCTTCCAACTCTAAAATTCTATGATTCTATGGAATCCTTGGGCCCATAATAACGTAACTAGTTTTTCTGGAGCTGTCCCTGCCTGGTGCTCTCTGGAGTCCAGGAGTGGACTTCAGCCTACCCAATTGTTACTACCATATCTTGGGGTCTTGTCATTTGGTGGTTCAATTGTATTTAGTGAACAGAAAACAAATGTATAGAACTCTTATCATCAATTCCCCACCCGCACCCCTTTATTTTAATCAATGCATATGTATTGAATAGCAGCCCTCAGAAGACCTCAGTTTGCGTTAGCTCCTGGCCTGTGTGCTTAATACTGTACTAAATCATCAGGCGATCAGCCACAATTTGACACAGGGACTCTCTTGGAACTGTAGCACTTTATGTTGATCAAACTGTAGCACTTCCCCAAAAGATCAAATTTTAAAAGTGACAGAGAAATACATTGGAAAGTGTGGGATATCAGTTGCTTTCACACAATGTCATCTGTCTAACCTCCCCGTAAATAAATCGGAAGGAATGGCAACATCCTCTAATCTCCCTGCAAACAAACCAGGATGAATGCTCAATATAAAGGGTGTCTGGAAGTGCCCTTTATTGTCACTGCAAAATGTGTTGGATGCCCCATGCTTTCTGAAGTTAGAATTCCTGCCTTGTGTTATCTGTACCTTTTATTATGGATTGTCATGTACTACTGTGCTTAAACTTTTGTTTTTTTAAAAAAATGAGCACAGGTGTACTTGTGGAAAATGTGGCATTTAAATAAACTGACAGTGACTATTTCACCTTAGACACAATGCAGCAAGGACTGGCTTTACAAATGCTGCTCATAAACGTGCTGGCAGTCTAAAGAGATGACAGCTAAAATGGTTTTTCCTAAAGTGCCAAGCTGACTACTGGCAGCTCCAGGTGTTGTATATGGACCAACTTATTGTATTACCTTTTAATTAATCTCTGGCATTCACATTTAGATGAGTCCATTATTAGCTGCTTTGAATGTTCAACGTAGTGGTGTTACTAAGAAGTAATTTTGCCTCCAGACAACCAGTTTATTGAGTGCTCATCCTGATTTGTTTGCAAAAAGCTTGCACAGAGGTTATATGCACAGAGGCACTGTTTGCTTAGCAATAATTATGATTTGTTTGTGTGGAGGTTTTATGGCAGCTGTGTGTTTTTGAGAATTCAGCCTGACATCATTGTGCAGAATTTGTGGAATTTGTATTTTTCTTCTTCCTCTTCTTCTTCTTCCTCCTCCTCCTCCTCCTCCTCCTCCTCCTCCTCTTCTTCTTCTTCTTCTTCTTCTTCTTCTTCTTCTTCTTCCTCCTCCTCCTCCTCCTCTTTGTTAGGATATGTAAACCACTTAGAGATTTCTGCTGAAATATGAAGTGGTATATAAATGAACTAAACAGACGTTATGCAACTTCCCATCAATC